GACCCCTGCCGTCCGGCCGGCGCCGCTTGGGGGGGCGCGGAGGCTGGGCTATAGCCCTAGGGCTTTGGGGGCCAGTAGGAGTTTGCAGGGGGCCTCCACGAGTAGAAGTTGCTCCTTTGTTATGACCAACGGCTGGCCTGGCTGTTGTTGGAGCCAATCTGCCTGGGCTGGAGGTCACAGTCTCTGAAGCCGGGCGTCCTGGGTTCAGGTCCTGGCGATGCCACTTACTAGCTGCAGGACCTCGGGCAAGTGACTTAACCTCTCTGTGCCTCCCGGTCTCTACTCGTCAAGACAGGGATCATAACTATTCCCTCTTCCTCCCCGCCTGTATTTTACGTCCCGTCACCCCAAACAGATCTGAGGTTTCACGTTAATGCACCGCGGGAAACCCAGTGACAGAAACCCGATTTGTTTCCGCTGATGACCAGGCAGATAAGCAGGGAAGGGTGTTTGAGGCAGAGGGAATAGCCATCTCAGAGGCCCCGGGAGGCAGTGGCAATGCGGGGATCACGGGCATGTGAAGCGCGGCAGGGTCCCGACTGGCCCGGCCTCTACCTGGCGCCGTCCACAGGGCTCTTTGTGATGGATGAGGACGCCACCCTCCAAGACCTGCCCCCCTTCTGCGAGTCGGACCCCGAGAGCACAGACGGTGAGTGTCTCAGGCTGGCCCCACTCCTGCAGCTGGCGCTGGCCAGGGACAGGGACTGAAGCCCACCCTCTTCCCCAGACGGCAGCCTGAGCGAGGAGACCCCCACTGGCCCCGCAGCCTACGCGGTGCCCCCAGCCTCGGCCCTCCCCACACAGCAGTATGCCAAGTCCCTGCCCGTGTCCGTGCCAGTCTGGGCCTTCAAGGAGAAGAGGACAGAGGCGCGGTCGTCGGATGAGGAGAATGGGCCGGTGAGGGGCATGTGGGGGGAAGGGGGGGTGGGTGTCTAGATGGGTGCACCTCCTCCATGAAGCCCTCAGGCACAGATGCTGCTTTTCCCCACTGGCTGCTTAAACCCTCTCTTGCACCTCGAGAGGCAGCTTCTGGGGCCAGAGACGTGCAGCTTTACTGCTTGTAACGTGTCCTGGTCCCTGTAGAGATGGCCTCTCCTGGCCAGGAGCAGCTCTGCACAAGCCACAGGCATTTGACATTTCCTCCACATAGGGAAACTGAGGCACAGAAGGTCAAATCACCTCCCAGCCCCTCCCAAAATTTGACCCACCCCTTGTCCTCTGCTCCTCCCTCATGATGATCCAGTGTTTGGAGGGCTGGGCTGACCTGGGTGGGTCCTCCTCACCCACCACTTAGACTTCCTGAGGCAGAGGGGAAACTGAGGCACCAGGAGGACATGTCTTCCCTGAGGGGCAGAGCTGGGATTGGAGCCCAGGTAGGAGCTGTGTCCCCATAGGCCCCCCCCTCAGCCTCAGCCGTCCTCATGTACAAGCTGGCAATCACAACAGTGACACCCTGCTGCCCCCACCCCTGTCTGGCTGTAGGAGGGCCCAGCACGGCAGTGAGAGCTGAAGTTGGAGCGCAGGGCCTGGGCCTTGCGGGATCCGTCAGCGGCTGCTGTCCTTGCTGGCAGCTCGTGGCAACACAAGTCACTGAATGCCCGAAGCCCCCTGAGACCTGCACTCTGGGCCGAGCTCCTGCTGCCCAGGGCTGCGGGGCAATGGCAGGACCCTCCCTGGTGGGTCCTGTGTGCCGCGTGGCCACGTGGTGGGCCGTTCGCCTTTCCTGAGCAGTGGCTGAGCTGAAGATCTCATCTCAGCCCTCGCGGGGACCGGTTATCAGCCCCTTTTTCAGTGGGGGAACTGTGGCCTAAGCCGGTGAAACCTCTTGCCCACACCGAGTGGGTGGCAGGGGTGTTATTGGAACATGACGAATCCCCCGTCCAAATCCTCAGACGTGCGCACAGCCTTAGTGGTCAGCCACAGGCAGCACTTGCACTGTGCCAGAAGTAGCCGCCCATGGCCCAGCACCT